TTGCAAACAATTGTTGGAAAATTTCTTGATCTACTGTATCGAATGCCGTTACTAGAACTAGAGATGAGCAGTTTTGGTACACAATTTGACTGCTGTTGAACGATTGTCCTTCAATTTGGTTAAGACAGTTACTGGTCGTCTTAGTTTTCAATAAATTTGAGCAGGCATGAACAATAGAGTGGGCGTAACTAAATTTCATTGTGTCATCAAAATAAAAATTTTGTGTTCTGACTACGTTCAAAATACTAATGTCTTTAAAATATATAGACCTATCATCAGCAAATTTTTGTCTGCCAAATGGTAAAATTTTCTCAACCATCGGTTTCTGGAGTTTCTATCATTTGTTTGAATTATATATAGTATCTGTCCACTTCTGCCCAACGCAAAATCAAAATTGAGCAATTTTCGTTATTTCGTTTTTTCTTTAAATTAATTTTTGTTTTCTCCTATTTTCATATGTCAAAAATCAAAAAACAATTTCTGTAAATAAATCATTCTAAATCACTGAGAAAGAAAATTGATCTAAAGTATACTTTGATTGCCGTTTTTTTTATTTTGAAATCTAGCCAAAAAAATGCCTCTGAAGAAACTTTTCAAAGCACTGAAATTGAGAAAAAATTGCAAAATTGAATTGGTAAGAAATTTTAAAATCATGGAAACAATTTTGACTTCAAATTGAGATTAAAAAAAGCCAAAAACAAAACAATTGTTGCTGAAAATTTTTCAAAGTACTGGAATTGAATAAAAAACTGAGGTTTCAACTGTAAGAAACACATTTTGCGGTTCTGAACTCTTCTTATATTTTAAGATTTTTCTTTCAAATTTTTCCTTAGTTTGATATTTTGCAAAAAAATTCCAAAAAAATAGTTGCCGCTACACGCAATGCAATTCAAAAAAAATTGAATTTTATTTGGTTGAATGCTTTTTGTTTTTGATTTTAGTTCCAAAATTGCCGGTGCTCAATCGTTTGAAAGCTGTTGAATTAAGAAAAAAAAATTTAAATATTGTTAATTTCCTAAATTTTGAATTTTACCTATCCTCATTTGTTGCGTTTGATAAAAGTTTCTGAAGCACTGGGAATCAGAAAATAGTTTAGATTGGCAAAAAATTTTTTGAAATCAAGTTTCTAAAAAGTGCCACTAAAGTTTCTGAAACTGCTGAGTTCCGTTGGTTGCGAGTTCTAGCTTCAAATTTCTAGAGTCCACTGTTTAGCAAAGAAGCAGAATCATTAGGAAAACCGACTTAATTTTTATTTATCACGGCATGAGAGCTTCTTGAAACATTTTCACTTGAAATGAAAAAAGTACTTGAAATAATTGTGAGCAAAGCTAGGCTTTTTAGAAAATAAACCTACTTGAACCTTCACTTAGCCTTTACAAAAACTTCTTAATTATTGGCAACTCAAAAAAAAAACTCTAGAGCCACTGTCCTTCTGACGCTCAGAATATTTTGCATATTTTTTCTAATCATGAAATGTTCTTTTGATCAAGAAAAAATTTTCAAAAAAATGATTATGAGGATCTATGTCATCAATATATAAACTCTGACTATTGCATTTAAAAGATAGTACTTTTTCTCGGTAGTTCTTTGATACTGTTTTAAGATTCTCTGAAATTATTCTAGTAGAGTTTTTGGAACCAATAGATACTAATGTTAAGGGGAATCAGAAAAATTGGTGAAAACGGGGTCGTAAAAATGATCTGGGAGAGCTCAGAAATTGATTTGATCGACCTAAAATGCTGATAGAATTTTTTCGAATTTTTTTGAAACCCTACTTGAGAAAGCCCTAGATCTACCAGTGCCTCGAATTAAAAGCTTCGAGCATTGTCCCGCTTTTGATTCATAATGTGATGGTCAAACAAAGCCTTTTTGTGAACTGTCATATTTTTTTCTACATAACTTAGAGTTACTGGATACATGGAAGTCGGCAAAGAAAAGATGTTAATACTATTTAATTTCCCGGGTTGACCAGCTTAGACAAAAAATGCTATTCATACAGTTCCAATCAAATTTTCTATGGAAACTGTATGACTAGCATTTAAAAAAACCAATTTTCCTGTAGAAAACTTTCCTGTAGAAAACACAAATCTCTTAGTTTTCTAAAGTTTTTCTCATCAATTCTGAGATTCCATGATTACAGGTTTGCATATAGATTTTTATTTATAGCTCAAACTTTTTTTTATTCAATTTTTTTAGGATTGGAAAAATGCTTGTCATACAGTTTCCATTTGTGGCCATACAGTTTCATTATGAGAAATTGCTGGTCATACAATTCCATAGTATGCAAAAAAGGCAAGTCATAGAGTTTTTATACACTTTTTCAAAACGTATGAACTGTATGGGAAACTGTATGGGACATTGTTTGTCAACCCGAGTTATAACCGGCTTGACTTTTTTGATTAAATTAATTGGCTTTTTTGTTGGTCAAAAAATCAGCTTCCTCAAAATATTTTCTTCAGCAAATAATGAGCAAACAAAATCTTTCTTCGTTCATAGCGAAGCCCTGAATGTTCCGACTGTCCTCTTAGGTTTATGGAGCAGTAATAACATTAGCAAATTAAATGAAAGAAAAAAAATGAAAAACTTTTTTTTCTGAAATTTGATTTTTTTTTCAAATCATCCCCCCACACGCCATATAAAGCACAAAAGGATAGATTTCGCTCCTTGTATTAAATCAATTTTGGCAAATAAGCTTCTTTCAACCAATTTGGAACGATTTCTAAGACGGATTAACTCTCCGCTTACGCGTTAATAGCGCAAAATATATCGCGCGTTAATTGTCCCAATATGGCCAAAATGGCAATCTTTAAACCCCTGTAACTTTACGAAAAATGATCACAGGTGAAATATCTTTTCAAAATTGAGCTCAGGACAACAACACCTTTTGAATGATATAAAAAAATTACGTCAAAATTGGCTAGTTAAAAAGTCGAAATTTGTCTGAGAAAAAAACCCACCCCGAGCACAAATATTCCGTTATTTTCGTATCGAAAGTCGGAACAATTATACTACTTAAGATGACGCGTGCGGGTATGATATAAAAAAACGTTTCACCAATTCCTTCAGGTTTTTATAGGCCATTCGTCATTCTTTTTTTAAATCTAACAAAACTCCATGGACGTTAAGGCCGTCCGAATTTTCAGGTCATTTTCTTGATACGAGCAGTCTTTTAGTTTTATATTCACTCTGGCAAACGGGGTCGATTCTCTGTTTTCATCTTTTTTTCTACGCAAAGTTTTCGATTTTCATTTTGTTTTTTACTCACTTTATAGTTCTATAATTTCTGTCAGATCAGGATCTCCATAATCAAAATTTAATACTTCTTGACGAATAACAAAGGGATTCGAAATGCGAATTTTGAACCAGCAAAATTCACCCATTTTTCAAATTGAATTGAAAATTAATGTGTTAGGAATGACTGAGTCAAAAGCTGAACCATATACGGCGGTTTTCTTTTAAATTTGCGTAATGAAAAATTTGATTTGAAGGGTGACCATGTTAAATGAAGTTCAGATATTCTAACATTCATTTTCATTTAGAACCATTTCATTTAAGACCAAAGTAACAAATCGAAGCTATCTTTAGCTTCTCTGCAACATTTATATTTTTGCAAGTCACGGGCAACAGATAGAGCATCGATTATCTTGAGGTGGTATAATAACTTTGCAAAAAATTACCTGGAAAAATCTACAGAAACACCAAGGCGCAAAGTTTTCTGCAAAATTTTTAATATATATCTTGCCTTTTTGTATAACAATGTTTACAAACATCTAGCTATTGCAGTGTTTTCTAATTTAAAAGATAACAAGACTGCTCGTATCGGGGCCGACTGCCTTTTGAGTTTTAGAGAGCAGCAGTAATAACATAAAAAATTTAATGAAATAAAATAAAATGAAAAATTTTTTTTCTAAAATTTGAAATTTTCAATGAAAATCATCCCCCCACACGCCATATAAAGTACAAAAAGATAGATTTCGTTCCTTGAAACAAATAAATTATGGCAAATAAGCTTCATTCGACCAATTTGGAACGGATTATAAGACGGATTTATAAGACGGATTAAATCTCCGCTTACGCGTTAATAGCGCGAATTATATCGCGCGTTAATTGTCCCAAAGTGGTCAAAATGGCTAAATGGCAATCTTTAAACCCTTATAACTTTACAAAAAATGATCACAGGTAAAATATCTTTTCAAGTTTAGGCTCAGGACAACAATAGCTTTCGAATGATATAAAAAACTTCTGTCAAAAATGGCTAGTTAAAAGGTCAAAATTTGTCTGAAGAAAAAAAACCCACCCGAGCACAAATATTCCGTTACTTTCGTATCGAAAGTCGGAACAAAAACATTTTTACTTAGCGCAAAAACAAAACATAGATTTCCCTTGCAGAACTTATATTTTTACTTCTTCTTTCAATTGCAATTGACGTGACAAGACAAGGGAAATGGATTCAAAGCATTGATACTTTTGATGCGATATAATGGCTTCTCGAGAAACAACTA